AAATTGCATATCAGTGTTGCAGAGAAATGACCTTCGCGTTCGCGAGTGGGTCCTCGCGTTCGCGAGTGGGTCCTCGCGTTCGCGAGGGGTTAGTTGGTGAAAGCTGGGATTTAAGCCTTCGCGTTCGCGAGGAAGGCTACGCATTCGCGAAGGGCTGGATATTTGGTCATCGCATTCGCGTGAAGTGGACCGCATTCGCGTAGAGTAATTTGGTCAGCTGGACTTGAGGCATTTTTATTCATCGCGTTCGCGAGTGGTATAGCGCGATCGCGAAGAGTGGTCTGAGGAAAGCATCATGTTCGCGATGGGGAGGTGGCGATCACGAAAGAGGGAACTTTTGTCAAAGTTGAATTGTGCTTCGCGAACGCAAGGCGTTGACCGCGTTCGCGAAGAAGGATTTCAGGCCTGGGCAGAAAGTTTAAATAGTCGTCTTGTCCGAGATTTGGGGTTTATTTCCACCATTTATGATCATTTTTGGAGCTTTTTGAAGAAGATTGAAGAGGGATTCAAGGGGAATCACTTGGAGGTAAGATTCATGGACTTAAAACTCGATTCTAATGTGAAATCTACCTAATTAATCATGGAATTTAAGCCAAAAATTGAAGAACTAGGGCTTGAAATTTGGAGACCTAGAAATTGGGATTTGAGGGGTCGTTTGTGGATGGATTTTGATGTTTTTGGTATGTATGAACTCGTGTGAGGATAAGGATTCCGTTGATGTGATTTTTATCGAGTTTCGAGACGTGGGCCCGGGGGTCGGGTTTGGCCAATTTCGAGGTTTTTGGTATTATCTGATTATTTTTGCTTGGGCTTCGTTCCCTTAGCATATTTTGATGTCGTGATTTTGATTTTTGATAGATTTGATGCGAGTGGAGGTCGATTCGAGGGGAAAAGGCATCGCGGAGTAGTATTTTCATCCGGTTTGAGGTAAGTAACCATTGTAAATCTGGAACTGAGGGTACAAAACCTCGGTATTTTACTTGTTTTGATAAATACAATGACGCACATGCTAGGTGACGAGCGTGTGGGCGTGCACCGGTAGGGATTGTGACTTGGTCCGTCCCGTAGTGACTATTAAGCCGCGCATTTGATTTAGAACCTTATGATATTCCATACTTTAGTCATTTATACTATATTATGGGCTATATGTCATGTTTGGGGCCTTGTGCCGACCTGTTGAGACCTTTAGGGGCATTTTTACTGTTTTTCCTCACTCGACTTGTTTGAAAGCATATCCTCAGTCATGTTTTACCTGTTTATTGTTTAAAACTGGTTTTATCACTCTACTTCTTAAATGTGAGGACTGTTGGACTAAGTTCCCTAATTTCTATTGTTGTGCCCGAGAAGCTGTGAGGTCAATGACTGAGAGAGGTTGAGAACCTAATGGTGAAGATATTTATATATGTATGAATTATGGACCGGGTTGCACGCTGCAGCGGTACTTATATGGATTAGGTTGCACGCCGCAGCGATATATATATTGGATCGGGCTGCGCGCCACAGTGATATGATGCTTGGGCTATAGGAGCCCCTCTAGAGTCTGTACACCCCTAGTGAGCGTAGTAGACTATAAATTATGGATCGGGCTGCACGCCGCAGCGGTTACTATGATTATTATTATTATTATGGGATATTAATGAGCCTGAGTGCTAAGAGTGAGTACTGAGGGACGAGAGTTGAGTTACGAGTGACTGAGAAGCTGCCCGAGAGGCCATATTCTGAGTGATACTTTGCCCGAGGGACCTAGTTATGATATTTTTCACTGATTTCACTCTTCTTTTAAAATAAGCCCCTGTTGAAAAATTGCTAAGTATATGATCTCAAGTTTTTAAACTGAAATTGATGATTTTATGATGAAACTGGTTTTAAACTGTGGAGTTTGATCTGTTATCCCGTTATTTGTTCATTTATATGATTTTTAACTGCTTGTCATTGCTTTCAGACCTTATTTACTTTAGTTGCTTACTGAGTTGGCGTACTTACGTTACTCCCTACACCTTGTGTGCAGATCCAGGTGCCCGAGTGGCAAAGTGAGGGTCCTCAGCTTATCCAGAGTTTGCCGGAGATTGCAAGGTAGCTGCATGGAGTCCGTAGCCCTGCTATTTTCCTTCCTATCTTGTTCTTTTCCGCATTTTTAGACTTACGATGTATTAGACAGTTGGCTTTGTATTAGAGGCTCTAAACTCGTGACACCAAATGTTTGGGCTGTATTGTCTTATGTTTTATTGACCTCCGCATATTTCAGTTGTTTTAAACACTTTTTATGAAAATGGGTGTTCAAACTCGTGTTAGAAAAATGATTTTATGAAAGGAAATTGGTTGTGGTTATATGGTTAGGTTGGCTTTCCTAGTAATGTAATAGGCGCCATCACGATCGGGCATTTGGGGTCGTGACAGTTTTATAATTGACATGTCCTAAACGAATATGCCGTAAATCATTTGACTCCAATAAATAAGAAGAAGCTGGAATTTTATTCATATTGTCAACAACCATTACATTGAGTTTGAGGCCCTCTGTAAGGAAGCCTTTTCCAACATACATTTCATTCTTGCTTACAACAACTTTATTAGAAACAAATACACATTTGAATTCATTCTTTACAAGTAAATAAGTAGAAACTAAACTCTTCCTAATAGTAGGAACATGAAGCACATTGTTGAGCGTTAACACCTTGCCGGAAGTCATCTTCAGGAATATCTTTCCATAACCTTCAATCTTGGCCGTTGCATTATTTTTCATGGAAATCACTTCTTCGGGACCAGCAGTAGAGTAAGTCGCAAATGCTTCTTTGACAGCACAAACATGTCGAGTGGCTCCAGAGTCAATCCACCACTCTTTCGGATTTCCATCTAGGTTGCATTTCGAAAGCATTGCACAAAGATCATCAATGTCATCATTCTTCTTCATTATGTTGGCTTGTCCCTTCTTCTTATCCTTTTTCGGGAGACGACAATCAGGGGCTTTGTGACCAACTCTTCCACAATTGTAGTTGTTGCCCTTGAATTTTTTTTGTTATGCTTCTTAGTCTGTCTAGAAGACCTCTTCCTCTTCTTACTTTTGGAGCAATCTCCTCAACGATATTAGCTCCCATGATCGTTGAACTTCCACGAGACCTCTTCTCGGCTGTTTTGTTGTCTTCTTCAATATTTAGACGTATCACAAGATCTTCCAACTTCATTCTTTGCGCTTGTGCTTAAGATAGTTCTTGAAATCTCTCCATGAAGGAGACAATTTTTCAATCATTGCAACTACTTGAAATGCTTCATTCACGACCATAACTTCAGCAATAAGGTCGTGAAAAATAAGTTGAAGCTCCTGAACGTGTGTTCCCACAGTTTTGATGTCTATCACTTTATAGTCTAGAAACTTGGCAACCATGAACTTCTTCAAGCATGCATCTTCCGTCTTGTACTTCTTCTCAAGTGCGTCCCATAATTCTTTCGAAGTATTCATCGTATTGTATACATTGTACAAGTCATCCTCTAAAGCGCTTAAGATATAGCCTTTGCAAAGAAAATCTGTCTGCTTCCACGCCTCAACAATCATGAACTTCTCATTGTCCGGCATATCCGCAACATGCACTGGAGGCTCTTCACTAGTGAATTTCTGCATACCAAGGGTGGTTAGCCAGAAGAACACCCTTTGCTATCATCCTTTGAAGTTGGCTCCAGAATTTCGCCGGTTTCTCGACCGGAGGAACAGTAGTGCGTCTTGACAAGGCTATCGTCGTTGCAACAACAGTCGCAAAAGGATTTCCGTTATCAATTGTAATTTCTCACTGTCAACAACAGAAGAGTTCAATTAATGGCAAAACAAGAACAGTAAACAATACTGTAATCAATAAACAATACGTATGATAAGTAAAAATCGAAGTTTTGTATACTGTTTCACAGAAAACGATGAAGTTTTTATGTTCTTCAAATTGTTTTCTGAATTTCAATACTATGATGAAGTTTTTATATGTTCAAATCAGAATAGTAAAATTCAGACGGAGTAGAAAACCACACAGGTTTTAATCTCCACAAATAGAATACAGAATATAATAATTAATTTCCTTAAGATTGTTATTTAAAATTGTATTGCCATAAAAACAATAAAATATTAAACTTTCTGAAATAAAACCAGAAACAGAAAGTTAGTAGAACCAGTTTAACAAAAATAAATTCTGCAAAACTAATATAGGAATAAATCGAGCACACTGAATGAGAGTGTGTCCTTAAGGAAACTATTCCCCTCAAGTACCCGAGGTGTTGGAATATTATCCTCCCAGGATAGAACGATTTAACTCATCAGCGTATTGGTACCAAAAACTCCGGCCGAGCGACGACGACGGCGCGAGGCTTGACTTCTTCTTAACTCTTTAAGAGCTAAAAGATAGCTTCTATATATATACACAGATTTTCTTTCCTTCTTCCAACGAGGGACAAAGTGCATTAATAAAGTGAACTAATTCAAAATTTCACTTCCCTTCATTTCTTTTCCCATCATTTTTGTTATTAATAACAAAACCCAACATAATCCATGCAGACTATAGTGCTGGGTTGAAATTTTCTCTGCGAATATCATCAAGTTTTATCATTGAACAGGGATTACCAGACTTAAAAGTTGTATCATGAAACTTGCCCAAGACAACAAGGTTTAAGTTCATAATCAATCATTTTGGTTTTAACAAATATTAGAGCAAACCCAGTTACCCAGAATTATAGGAGTACAATTTTCAGCTTTGCTATTTGCAGTAAATGCGTTTAGAATGACAAATCGAACCTTGTATTAACTAGTAACCATACCTAAAATGCATATTAAAACTAGCTTGGATCACTCGAAAATATTTAATTCTAACTCAAAAAGCATTAAAATATAGGTGACTGAATTGACTGTTGACATAAGCAAGGCAAGATTTATTCATTACGATAGTTTTAATAGAATAAAATTTAAACATGGATAAAAATACAATAATTAAAATAAATTGGAAAAACAATAAGTACAAAAGCAAAAAAAATGAACAAAAAGTTCATGCAATTTTCTAGTCATAACAACAAATTTACTGAATTCTTAATTATACAACAACAACAACCTAGTAAAATTCCACTAGTGAGGTTTGGTGAGGGTAGAATATACGCAGACCTTACCCCTACCATGAAGGAATAGAGAGGTTGTTTCCGGGAGACCATCGGTGAATTCTTAATCATATTAACAACATATTGGTAGTTGAAGTTGAACAAACAAATCATGAATAGTGAAATACACAAAGTAGATCCAGAATACGCCAGAAAACAAAAAATTTACATCAATAATAGCAGAACTTTCTTCTACAACAATATGAAGGAATATCCTGTGAATAGCAAACAAGCTGCTGCTATACTGCATGATCATCAGCAGTACTCAAACTTGGCAAGTTCCCATTAAATTACAGATTCCTCCCCTGCTTCTGCTTAACAAAATTAGTTTTTGTTCAGATTTTTGTAACTATCACAAACACCCCAAAAGAAAAATTTAGAAAAACAAAACATGAAGTGAAGCAAAGCTAGAGAATAAAATTCGTGGACATAGTACCTTTTCCAGGAACTATTATGATTGGGGCTGTTTTACAGTGGTGAAAGCAATGCTCACCCACACTTCCTTGAAGTACACTGGAAAAATCAAACAAACAAAAGAATCAGTCAGAAGGGTTCATAATATACTTAGAACTGAACGTATTGTACTTGAGAGAGAGCGAAAGGCCGATCCAGGAGTTGAACTTTGATGGGTTCAGCCCTTAAAATTCTTAGCACTGGTAGTATTATAGTTTTGAAATTATGGGTTCATAATATAACATTTATTTTTTATGTTTTTCACATTTATATTCATGTTCCATGTTGAAAATACTAGGTTCGGCTGAAACCGAAGCTAATAAACTAAATTTGCGACTGAGAGAGTGATACCTTTTGATTAAACTACGTCCCCTGGTTCCCATAACCACGGCTGCAGGCTTCAACCGTTCTGCTTCCCTGCATATAACCTTTCCAGCATCTCCTTCCACAATCCTAGCCACTGTCTTCACCTATTTCAACATAGATGCTCCACATTTATTAACAGTTCATCATGAAACCAAACCTCAGATATTATATGTCTGAACAATAATCCGACAAAAATAGACTTTTGGTTTGCATCTTCTCATGTCCAATTCTACAAACAATAATAATTATCCAATATTCCCCTCAACAAAAGACACATTAATTGAATGTTGAAGGCTATTACCATGGAAGAAGTATTACGTAATATCTGCGAGTAAAAGATTTCAAATGCAGAACAAAGCACACAAGCGATGCACTAATTCAGTGCAACATACAAATCAATAAATTTGTACATGCTTCCTGATGATTAGAGAATATAAACAGAAAAAGAAATCATAATGTGACATGCTTCTTGATGTTTAGAAAAATATAGATAGAAAATGGAGAGGAAGCCCTTGATGATACTGTAGTAGAAAGCACACAAAATTGAATAAGAATGGTAAGACTGGACAAAGCAAAGAAGTCAATTGACAGAAGTAATGGGTGAAGGATTCGCAAGTTCTGCAATTAGTGAAAACCAAAGATATATACACAAAAAAAATTAAACCATTTCTCGAAACAAGCATCTAAGGATCACGGCTAATGGTTTCTGGACTTCTGAATCTCAATGATTAGCATGCTCACAAACAGATCAATTGTAACTCTAAATTCATCCGGATTATGCCTCCTATTCACAACTTAAGACTCTGCTAAAGCCCGAAGAAAAGGATAAGAGGAAAGATCCACACCAACTATAGTGACATGCTTTCTCCTTCTAATTTACAGTGTATACTAATTCCACAACCATTAAGGTATGACAATGAGAGTACCCCTCAAGTCAAACAGATTATGCATATCGCAACGAGCTGACCTTGCAATACTTCATTGTATCCACAATTAAGAAAAACTAACGATCGGTAAGCACTCATCACCAATCACCATGGAAAGAATATAGGAGCCGCACATGCTAGATTCATCAGGTGAGGAGATGCAAATTCAATTTCCCATAGTTATATAATATGTTCGTCAGGTAACGATCTCTCAATCATGGAAGTTGTCACTCAAACCATCTCGCCACTTCGTGAACCATATTCAATGAGAACATCTTTTGATATGTCCAAAGCAGGGTTCTTAGACACAGAAAAGAAGGGAAATAAAAGCTTATATTCTATATATTTGAATGACTTCTCAAATTCTGAGTATATTTATATCTGGAGACAACTAGTACGAATCATGATACTCAAATTTTAGTTATAGCTTACCCCATCAATGAGCTTAACTTCTGGCATCAGTCAACAATGATGGATAAAGGAATCACAGATTGATAATATGTATTGTAAAGGAATAAAATAACAGAACAAACTACCAACACATTCTAGTAAAAGTCAAGACATATAATTCAGTGCAGCAGACGCAATTTTTACTATGCTGTTAAAAGCAGAAGAAAGTTGAACCAAATTCTTGGAAATGTCAAACATGGGATCTCAGAGCTGCTACACAAATTCCAGGACAGCACTTCAATTTGGATTTTTAGGAATAATAAATCATAGAAATGAGCAACAGGTTAGGCACGTGCACTAATTGTTCGAACATCAACTCATAGCTTTGCCTTCTGATTTCAAAAATTAAACCTTCGCTGAAGCTCCCACAACATTCTCACATTCACTTTCATTCATGATCCATTCAAGTCAGATACACTCATTATTGGACCATGATATTGTTCAGGCAAGTATTTCACAGTATCAATTCTAAGCTGTATATGAGGAACTTAAGCTTTAACGAGCTTTAATCACTAGGAAGGATTTACCATAGAGATGTAAAACAAAATTCCAATAGCGAAAACTCCGTGAATAGGAAACAAATGAGGAGCAGACCATGAAATCAAGTTTAAATGAAACAAATGCGACATCCATCTGTCATTGTCATTCATGCAAACTTCCTTCATGCAATGATATCTTATTCACGGAACTTCGACGTTCTCTGATGAACTCTTCTTTCCTCCAATTACATCTTTAGGAACAGAAAGAATCCTCAATTGAACACTAAGAGAACTCCATTATATGTCTAAATTGGTTCTAAAGCTAGAGCCTTTGTTTCAAGGAGGGAAATTAAAAGGACCTTCTTTTACCTAAAAAATGTCCAACTTAACTTTTCGAGCTGACCCAAAAGTGTTTATGCATTTCCCTATATTCTTCATGCAATCTCAAAATCGAAAAAGTTATCCGAAACCTCATTATTATGCTATCAAAAGTACAATTTATCAAAAGAAAAATAGTCCGCCTCTCGGCTCGAAGATTAGCACACATCTTGGTGATAAAGAGAGAATAGTAAGAACATGGTTTATCCAAAAATAGAACTTCTATACATCAGAGTTCAACAATATTCATCGAGATTTCCTTCATCATTTAAGAGAAATCCGATCTAGGTGACCGTCACGAGAAGTGCCAGTTCAGTATCAGAAGGAAATTAAAGACAACTACGAACACCCGTGCAACTTATCTTTGAGGATGACACAAATGACATGCATGGAAAAAATTGTACTGCCCCATATATTTTTTTTTGATTTGCACCGGGTGTCCGAGTCTCTAAGAGCCCCGACTAATCCCGTGGGTGCGCAGGCCCTCGGCAAGGTGTTTTCCGCAAGTGCACCACGGTTAATTCAGGTTTTACCTAGTCAGATGGCCCTCAGAAATTGTTTGCACCCAGTGTGTTTCGAACTTGAGACCTTGAAAGGGAGCAAACCCCAAGGCTCAAGTCAATTGCCACCAGGCCAACCCCTGAGGGTTTGTACTGCCCCATATATTACTCCTTGGAAAGTTCAACATCCTTTAAATATTTAAATAACAGAAAATTGTAACATGTAATACTGTTTGAGTAGTTTCTAAATACTCTCTCCTCCAAGTTTAGAAACAATTTAACTTTAAACTTCTCATTTTATCTATAGTGATATATTTATAACCATATGGCTCCTTTTAAAAAGATTACTTTTAAACTTCGTGCTTAGTCAAATATCATAAAGAAAATGGGATATACTATGTAAGAAATTGATATGTAGGAGTAGGAATTTACTCTGAACATCATTATTTTTGGAACCAAAAGAGCAATCCAAGTACTCCTTATGTCCCGATTTATGCGAAGGTATTTGACTAAGCACGGAATTTAAGAAATAAAGAAAAACTTTTGAAACTTATAGTCTAAAACAAATTATAGAAATTTGCATGACTAAAAATCATGGATAAAAAATGAAATTTAAAATTGAATTGCCACTACTTATAGTATAATTATTTTTGGGACCGATTAAAAAGGAAAAAATACGAGAGTAGCAATTAACAACAATTCTTTTGAAGGGCAAAAATCAAACAAGAAGGACGCACGAGTAGCAAAAGGAAAGAGAAACACTAACCATAGCAACCTCAAAAGCCTCGATGGCAAGCTTCTCCATGAGCGCCTGTGTAGCTTCATAGACAATCTCATTTCTCAAACCTGAAAGAAATCATATTACTTTTTAGAAACAAATTAAAGGACAACAACAAACACCCATCATTTTGGTTCCAAAAAGAAAAAGAAAAAGAAAAGCAAATTAACTGGAGACGGCGTGGACAAGATGAATGGTATCAGCGAGACGGCAAATATGAGTAACAGCCCAATCAAAAGCGTGCTTGCTGTTAGGACCGTGATCAATAGCGATGACTATGTCACGCCCACGGCGCCTTTCTCCTGTTTCTCTCTCCAGTTCAGGCGGCGGCACCACTGGTATGAGCGACGGAAGCTTCACTTCTCTCCAGTTGTACTCTTCTTCCTCCATTAGTGTTTCCATTAATTACTGATTTCTTCTAATTCTTCGGTTAACCTTCTTGATATAGCGTTTAGGGTATTTGGAATTTGAAATAGTTGTTGAAAGGTATAAATAGAAGAAAGGTGGCGAATGAAAAGCGGGCAGCCAATTTTGAATTACGCGTGTTGAACGTGGAAGGTCAAAGCTTTGCTGGCTCTGACTACTTTTCATGATGTTTAGCATATCTTATTAATCTTAAGATTTATGGGCACTCAGAGAATCAGAATTTCAACATATGCTGATTTTCAGCAGACACGTTCGTGTTCAAGTGGCTTTTTTCTTCTAGAGTACGTTTTATCTTTTTTCCGCATATCTTGTCGAGTTTTTCTTTATGCTGGTAGGGTTTTGTCGAAGATACCTGGCGGTAATAGTGTATCTTACTATTTTCCTTTTTAATGGAGCTAGTGGTCACTTTTGCTTTATATTTTTCTTCTGAATTTCATGTTATTCCTATTCTTTCTATGATTTCCGTATTGATATTAATATTGTTTTCTTTTGTCTTTTTATTTTCTTGAGTTGAGGGACTTTCGGAAATGGCCTCTCTATTTCTTCGGGATAAAGGTAAGGTCTGCGTATACACTATCCTCCTCATACTCCATTAGTAGGATTTTGCTGAGTTATTGTTGTCGTCGTCGCATCATAAGTTCTTGGCTTAACCTCAATTTATTAACCTGCTAGTTTTATGGTAATATTTATTCTCATTTTATATTATTTTACAAAAAATAAAACTATTTTATTTTAAAGGCAAGACAAATGACCTTTTTACCGATCGCGATTCAAAATTTCAAGAATTTGTGATCAGCATCCGGCAATTTCCTTACCGAGCGAACCATGCTTTATAACAGTCCAAGTTTAAAACCCGCTCTTATATTAAAGATTAAAGACTATACAGGTGAATAATTCATCAACTGCACTGTGATAACCAAATACACAAGTTTAAAACTCGCTCTTATATACATATAACTGTACTATTAACGTTTTAAGTCCACCTATCGAGTCAGAAACATTTAAGGTGTATTGGTAAAATATATGGACATAATAGGTGGCGCTGGAATCGGCATGTCGGAAACATCGCTTAGCTCCAGATCGTCCGGGGATGTTCCATCAAAACTTTGAAAATCGGAAAGTCAATCCCGGGATCGTCCTTGTTTCACCAATCAAAGCTATTATGGATTCGGATAGCCACAAGTGTCCGTGCAGGTATCTTCTCAACGAACTCCAAAATACTCGGGATTGTGCATTAATCACACCTAACAATTACAACAAAGGTGTAAACAACAGGATATTAAGTAGATGATATAACGTGCAAGAAGACTTTTAGGAACAATTAGGGATGTATTATCATATATAGAGTAAATTCCATATTACCCCCTTAATCTTTTAGGGTAGGAAAACGCCCCTCACCTTTTGAAAGGGAAAGTGAACCCCATTTGATCCAAAAGCGAAAAAAAAGAAAAAGAAAAATTGTAAAGAGCTGTTTGGACATAAAAAAAATCCCTTTTTTCCAAAAAAAAAATTACTTTTTTTCAAAATCAACGTTTGTTCATAACATTTTCTATTTTCACTTGAAGATTCATTTTGGAAATTTTCGAAAATTTGAAACACTCCAAAAAACTGTTTTTCAAAATTCACTCACAAAATTTCAAAATAACCCAAAATTATATTCATGTCCAAATACAACTCTAAATTTCAAATACCATTTTCACTTGAAAAAAATTTCACCTTTTTTTGAAATTTTACAATTCTTATGTCCGAACGCCCGCTAAGTTTCTCTTTGTCAAGCGATAATAATGACATTTGTTAACTCTGACAAGAGGTTTTTATTTTTCTTTTTTTTGTTGACTTTTGGGTCAAAGAGGGTTCAAACCCCTCTCAAAAGTAGAGAGGGAATTATTTCCCAACCCTAAGAGGTGTACCATTCCCATTCAAAAAGTGGAGGGGTATTATTTCTCAACACTTAAAGGTTAAGGGGGTAAAGTGAAATTTACTCTCATATATATCTATATCTATATTATATTAAAAGTGAAAAGCCCTTAATTAGAAAGTTAAATTACTAAATTGATGGGGGCAAGAGCCCGCAAATATGGAGATTTAAGTGCATCTACAATAACACAGAAGCAGTCGATTCGGCGCAGAAGCGAGTGAGGCACAAATGCAGAGCTTTCCTCGCACCTGCGATGTCGCAGAAGCATAGGATCTTCCGTAGGTGCAAGAGGTCAGGATTATATATGTTACTCGCAGAAGCGAGATTCTTGTCGCAAAAGCAACACCGCATGTGCGTTTTTTTGTCTACAAGCGCGGAGATGCCTGAGCATATCCTATTTATTTCGAGGGTTGAGTTATTTTATCACATTTGGAGATTTTGAGCAGAAAAATTTCACCGTTTGAATTGGAATAAGAATTTTTTTACTCGAATTTATTTATTTTATATGATTCTATCATTGATTTTGGCATTTGATTGATGTTTCTAAAAGAGAAATTGGGGGGTTTTGTCTAAACTTGTCCAAAGTGAAAATTTTGAACATCGATTCGAAGTCAGATTTGAGTGAAATTAGATTGGTTGGACTCGTATTCGAATGGGTTGTCAAAATTTATGAGTTTTGTCAAGTTCTGAGGTGCGGGCCCGGTTTGAATTTTTGGTTGGCTTTGAGTATTTGATTAAATATTCGACCTTTATTGTTTGGGTTTATTTCCTAAGGCATTACTTATTGTTTTTGAGTTGCTTTTGGCTATTTTGAGTCATTCAGAGGTTGATTCGCGCAAGATGACATTTCTAGAGTATTGTTTGGCTTGCTCGATATTTGATTTGACTTGTTCGAGGTAAGTAACATATCGAAACTTGGATTTGAGGGTAATTATCCCTGGGAACTATGTTATTTATAATGTGTTGGAGTGACGCACATGCTAGGTGACAGGCATGTATGCGTGCACCTGAGTGTTCATGATTAGAGTGAAATTTAGACTATTATTGGACTTGTTTAGCTATTATGCCTTGTTATATTCGTGTTTCTCTACTTGTTTGATTATCAGAGCTATGGTTTATGTTAGAAATCATGTTTAGGCTATATGGTTAATTGGTGAGACATAATAGAGCTAATTCTGTTGTTTTGAGCTATCTATCTTAACTGTAGTTATACCCCCAATCATAATTTTTCATTTGCATAACATATCTTAGTCTCTGTACTTTATTTATTGTTACATCATGCTATTATTGTTTTCCATATGTTATATTGTTCGGGCTGAGTGATATGAGATTATGAGCCATTGAGCCTTGAGAGGTTGATGACTGAGGTGGGCCTTAAAGCTGTGTTGAGAATGTTATTTGGATTGGGTTGCATGATGCAACAGGCCATATTGGATTTATTGTTATTTGAATCGGGTTGCATGCCACAACATGTCATATTGGATTTATTATTATTTGGAGCAGGTTGCACGTCGCAACAGGCCATATTGGATTTATTATTATTTGGAGCAGGTTGCACGTCGCAACAGGCCATATTGGCTTTTGATTAGCATTTGGCCAGGATCCGCCCCTCCAGAATCTGACATGCCAACAGTGGGCGCAACCATGATATATATACATGCTTTGGTGAGGGCTTTTGAGCCACGCACCCGTACAATGCTGAGTGATTCTGTATGTGATGAAGTGGGGAATTTTAGACAAGCACCTTGAGTGTGCTGAGAGTGAGTGTACCTGATGATAGAACTATTAAATTATTTATCTGACACGTAGGCATAGAGATGCATTTTTCTCATGCTAAACAGTAATATTGCATTTGATGACTTGACATGTATATTGACATGTAGGCGTAGAAATGTATTTTTTCATGATAACTGGTAAATGGAAAGTCTTATCTATTGTTGTGAATTGGAAAACACGGTTCTTTTTTATAAACATGTGTTTAATTGATTTTAGTGGTAAGATTTAGACTTTGACCGTTATACTTGAAAAACATGTCCACAATCCCGTAACTATGAACGAGTTGAGCATAATACCTTTAAAGTTATTCACTTTTACTGCCTTAATTATATTATTACGAGTTGCTATTGGTATTGGACTTTGCTTCTGAGCTCGTCACTACTTTCAATCTGAGGTTAGATTTGTTACTTATTTAGTACATGGGGTCGGTTGTACTCATACTACACTTCTGCACCTTGCGTGCAGATCTTGGAGATAATGCTATTGTGCATGGTGGGAGCTGGCATTGAAGATGTACCTGCTTTTTGGATATAGCTGCCACTTGTCCCTGGTATCTTTAGATTTGTAATATGTTTATGTATATTTCAAATAGAGGTTATATTTATACCAGCTTTGTAAATCTAAATCTTAGTGGCGCATGCCTTGTACAACCAGTTCTTGGGTTATTATATAAAATTTTAGTTAATTCATTATCATTTTCTTATTAATCTCATTTGAATTGTATTGACTGTTAGTTGGCTTACCTAGCGGTTTGGATTAGGTGTTATCACAACTAGTTGGATTTTTTGTTATGATAAGTCAGTATCAGAGCTCTAGGTTCATCTGTTCTATGAGTCATGAGCTAGTATCTTGTAGAGTTTTGTGGATCAGTATGATGACGTCCATACCTATCTTTAAGAGGCTACATGGCACGTAGGAAAATTTTCATATTTCTTTCCTTATCGTGCAACATTGATTCAACTTGAGGTGTATCTCTTTGATCTTCTTCCATCCACTTGTATGTTATGTGAGCACTCGACATCAATTGTGTATCGATGTCTTATGATGTCATGGATGAGATGCGATATGGGTCCTCTATGTTGTGGAGATAAGCTGGTCTAGAGGAATTGAGGCCAAGTTCATACTGCAACTTGAGCTCGGTGGTTTCAGTTGTATGAGTAAGTGCTTTTGGACTTATGAGTTCGATGGTGTCCTTGGGAGTGTGATTGATGGCTCAGTGAGTGGTTGGATAACTCTATGATGAGTATTATATGACTGTGGGATGTGCTTAAATGGTTTTGATGTGACGAAAAGAATTTTGATTGGGATGTGAAAGGACTATGGATGCTCGATTTCTATCTTGATGTGTTGCACAGTCTTGAGC